TAATACAGAGTAGATCACTTTATTATTAGGTCTGGGACCTTGTAGGGATCATATCTTGTTTATTATTGTTTCTCCGGCACAAACTGCTTTGCCTGCCTCTTAGTAAACATTCAATAAATATTTGTGGAATGCTTGAAGAAATGAGGAGTCTGGACTCCTGCTACCAAAACCGGTATTATGATTTTTAATCTTGTTGTCCCATCAAAGAGAATTTAACTCTTTGCATCACTGTCCATTCTTGTCCTCACTCCTTCCTGCCTCAGGGGAAGATGGTCCTAAAGTTAAGCTATCTACATGATTCTTTGCATTTAGTATGCAAACATGCCCACATCTTCCCCACCTTCAAAAACAACCGAACCCTCCACTCAAATAGCTACACACTGTCTCTCTCTTGCCTTTATTGCCAAGCCTCTGAAACATCTCTCCTCCCTCACCTCTAGTTCTAGCCTCACTTTATTTCATTCCAGGCTCCACTCTGGAGTCAGACACCAGGGGTTCTGATCTTGGCATTGCCTCTTACCAGGTTTGTGACCATAGGCAGTTCACACAATCTCTCTAAACCCCGCCGGACATATCTCATAGGGCTGTCTTGAAAATTAAGTGAGATAATGCATTTCAAGTACTACTGCATCACCCGGCAGGTAGTGAGTGTTCCATAAATGGCAGCTGTTCTTCTTACTGATCGAAAGTGTAATAGGAATTCAGAGATGAGAAAGATTGGTGTAGGCTTAAGAATTATTTTGAATTCATCTAACTGCTCACTCATTCTTTAGATTAGGAAATTAGGGCCCAGAGAGGTTAAGTAGTCTATGTTTCATGGAGGAGATGATATCTGAATTGGATTTTGAAGAATAATAACCATAGTTTACATCTATTGAGTGTTCACTGCAGGCCAAGGACCATTCTAAATGTTTTACATGGATTGTTTTATCTAATCCTCTAACCATTCCCATGAGATCAGATTTTGGCAGCTAGAAGTAGGGAGTCTGAGGCTGGACGGGGAGGATAGAGAGGAAAGAACGAATAAAAATGTGAAGGAAGGAAAGACATGTTGATTTCTGGAGATGGTGATGAGGCTTGCCAGCTGGAGTGAAGAGCTTGTCTTAAGCAATGGAGAGAACCAGTGTTGGACAGAGTGAGGCAAAATTATAGGAGGCCTTGACAACCGCACCTCAATAAAATTGGCTTTATCTAATGGGCAAAATAAAGAGCAGTTGTAAATATATGACTTGGGGAAGGGAGGATGCAGAATGGAAGTAGAGTTTTAGGCACATTGATTTGGTGACATGCACTATGAAGGTCTGTGAAGGGCAGAATTAGAACAGTGTTCTTCATACCCGCTGGACTCACAGCCTCTACAAGCCACTTTTGGTTACCACTAGCCACTAGGAGAGTGTTATTTAGCACAGTTTCCCATAAAGTAGGAGCTTAAAAAAGGTTTAGTGAGGGAATGAGTAAATATAAAGGCAAATTGGCTAAATAATGAATTGGAGGCTGTTTCTAGGTGTGAAGTGCTAAGACCTGAGACTGTTGAAGACAATGGGAATGGAAATAAGGGAGGCAAATCCTAGAAACAATTTTGAAGAAGAAATAATAAGACTTGGACACATATTGGACAGACACTAATATTTAGAGCTATATTTCAAATTATTTATAGCAACATGTAGTGTCAGAGCCATTGCCTTTGGTACATTCTCTTTGTAAGTTTCTTTAAGCAGAAATTCTGTATTTGAAACAAAAATCACATTTCAAGATGATCTTATAAGTAATTATTATTACCATTAAAACTTACGTCTCTCTACTTTCTACTCCTACTCCATTTCTACCACTGTTGCCCCCTAAGTGGATTGTTGTTGGAATCTCCTGCTGAACTCTGGCCAAATAAACCTCCTCATCCTCAATTACACCTGGCAGTTGCCTCCTCCCACCCTTTTGTTCATACAGATGCACTCCCCCATGGATATCCTTTCTTCTTCCTTTTCATTCCTGTTACTAATTGAAATCTTAGCCACCCTTTAGGACCAAATCAGATACTACCTACCCCACGATGTCTGATCAGCCTACTGGAAATGACTGCTGTCCTCTGAACTCCCATGGCACTGCATCGCACTGCCTGGTCATTGGGTTAACTGGGTATCCATTTACCAGTACCTTACTTGTATCCTCTACACTGATAGTAGTACTATGTGCTATCTAGTTATTCGATACATATTTGTGACATGAATTCAAACTGTCTTAAATACTGCAAATCCTTTCCCAAACAAGAGTTTGCATTTGCGGTCAGCTTTACCCTAGTATACATTTTTTTGCAACATCGAGAATTTCACGTCATTTTTGTTGGGGATACTTAGAAAAAGAAAAACCTTTATGTTGGGAATGGAAAAGAATATTAAAGTGAAAGTGCAGGATTAGCCATTTTTTTCAAAGAACTTTTTGGTTGGATAAAGGAAGCTGAGGAAAATTAAACCTGAGCATTTATTACTACACTTCTGCCTCTTAGGATGGAGAGAAGTGGAATGAATATGAGAGAGGCTTGGGCCTCCAGCCTTTGGGTCCTTGGGACCATTTCCCATTCCATTTCCCAAGAAGTGGAAATCCAGGGTATTGAGGAGCAATAAAGAACTGATGAGATCGCTTGAGCCCAGGAGATTGAGGGTGCTGTGAGCTAGGCTGACACCCAGGCACTCTAGCCCGGGCGACAGAACAAGACTCTGTCTCAAAAAAAAAAAAAAACTGATTAGGAAAAAAGATGTCTCTTAGCAGGCATATTATCTGCAAAAAGGCAAGCTGAGTTTGTAAGTGTATCTCTGAACTTGCCATAGAAGGTGATTTTAGAATCTCTAGAGAACAAGGAATTTATTTGTACAGTGCCATTACTAATGTACGATGTGGAAATAGTTATCTGTTGGTTATTATTTTAATGAAGGTAGAATATATTCATTTCCTTGGTTCACTCATGACTTAAAACCCTATTTTGTTCTATAAAATCTTAGGTTCCCCAATTACAAATTCTACTACTAGGATTTTCGAGATTCTAACATTGTAAGCTGGAGAGGACCATTATACTAATATTCTATCAATATTTTCAGAACTGTTAAACCTGGCTAGGTAGGTGTCATATTCCACAGTGAAGCTGGCAATTTTTGAGCTTCCCAGAGTGTGACATGCTCTCTGATGGCTCTGCGTCTTTGCACATGTTGCTGCCCTTGCTAGCATGGATATCTTTCTTCCCTTCATTTTTTTTTTTTTTTTGGAAAGTTAACCCATACTTATCCTACATAATTTTTTCTCAGATATCATCTCCTCCAAAAAGCCTTCCCTGACTATTTCATGAGAGCCACTCCCCTGGGTTAGGTGCCACTCCTGCCTGTTCCCACTAAATAGCCCAGGCTTTCATCGTAACATTTTACCTCATGGTGTGACAGGTACCATTCCCAGGTCCTTCTCCCCACTGGGTAAGCTCCTCCAGCAGCCCTATGGCTGCCGAGTAACCAGGAGCAGATGTGGAAGGCTATGAAGGCTCAATACAGCATGGGTTCAGTATAGGAAACGTAGGTGAAAAAGTCCCTCTTGCCTTATGGAGGTGTGTTGTTAATAATGGAGTTTTAAAATAATTTTGGAGGATTGCCATCTATGCTCTCCTTGTCTTCTCCCCACCGGTGGAGTGTACCTCAACCAACCTAGAAGAGAGCAGTTTGCCTATGTGCTGCTCTAAGTTAATGACAGCTCATATCAAGCCCAGTTTTTAAGAATAGCGATGATTTTTACTATGTAGCCTCTACCGTGAAAAGCAGACTGACAAAACATTTTTGTATCTTGGTGATCATTTGCAATTTTGCTACCAAACTTATGAAACCCACCCCAACAATCTTTCCGATTTTTAAAAATATCCTACTGAAAAGAGATCTCTGGATGCCCATTTTTATGTGTAATATAAAGCAAATGTCAGTAGTCTGTCATACCTGTCTAGATCTAGTCTAATAATTCAGCTTTTCCTTTTTTTTTTTTTCGTTTGGTGGGAGTACTACAGATCTTCATATGATTCAATTTTATGAAGTTTTTCAGAGAACGAATGATAAGAATAAGTGTGAACCTATGGCTATGTTGAAGCAGCATTTTCCTTCAGTACAAACAAAATCATAAGCTAGATATAAAGAACTGCCTTTAAAAATTGAAGTATATCTTGCTTTAAATGTTTTTCCTGAATTATTACAGTGTCCGGTAATGATTTCCTTTCCTTCAATTACTATAAAAGAGTAAATTTGTGGTGATAAAAAATGCAGGATTTTAAAAAATATATGCAGTATTTAAAAAAAAAACTACTTTGGAGCAGAATAGGATGCCTACCATTTATATTGAGCTCAATGGGTGGGAAATGATCAATGATTTGGCGCGGAGCCTGTCAAATACTATAACCCAGAGTTTCATCAGACATAAAAATAATTGCTGGTGAAAGTTTACCCGGAGCACCATCTGCCCCGACGTCGCTTCTATTTGCCAAGACCTCACGCGCCGGCACCTAAGCTGTGTATTCGCCCCTCCCGCTGCCGGCGGCGCCTCCGGGGCGCCCCAAGGAGTTCTGGCCGCCGGCGGGACCGAGCGCCGGGCGCGGGGTGACACCGGTGCCCGAGCCCGCCGACCCCGGGGCAGAAGCAGTGTCTGAAGTTCTCGCCTGCTGCCTTTCAGAAAGCCGGGCGTGCGCGGGGAGAGTTTCCCTGCACCTTCGCCCGTCGGAAGACGGCGCTAGGAGGGAGCGAGCGTGAGAAAGTGAGAGTGCGCTCGAGGCAGAGAACGGCCGAGAAGCCGGCTCCAGGCGTCCGAGCGTCCAGGCCGGCCCGTCCGCCCGCGGACCCGCGGAGGGCGGGGGCCCGGAGCAGCGAGGCGCAGGGAGCGAGGCCGGCGGGCGCCGGGGGTTGGCGGGACGCGCGCTCCGTGCCGGCGCCCGGCCTCGAGCCCGCGCTCCCCCCCCCGCGTGCCCGCGCCGCTGCGCGATGCAGTGTGGGGAATGGCTGGGGTTGGCTGAAGAGCGCACAGTGGAGTTTTAATGTCCGCCATGTTGGCCATGGCGTATTGAAGAGAGCGAGCGAGAGAGGAGCGGAGCGGCACAGCCTCCCACCCTCCCGGCTGGTGTTAGTGCCCGGACGGCGGGCTCTGCGCTCCGCCCCTCAAGTCCCCGGCAGCGGTAGGCGAGTGGGGACCGAACCCCCTGTTCTCCATGATCCCGCTGGCCGGGGCCGTTTCCCCAGAGCGGAGAGGTATCTGCTGCGCCTGAGATGAGTAAACTGTCGTTTCGGGCGCGGGCGCTAGACGCCTCGAAGCCGCTGCCGGTTTTCCGCTGTGAGGATCTGCCCGACCTGCACGAATACGCCTCGATAAACCGGGCCGTGCCGCAGATGCCCACCGGAATGGAGAAGGAAGAGGAGTCGGTACGTGTTAACTCCCCTGTCCGACCCACCGTCAGGCCCCGCTCCCTCTGCTGCCTGCGGCGGCGGCGGCGGAGCAGCATAACCACACAAAATGGCCGCCATCTTCTCCTCGCCGCCGACTCTCGGTCGCCGGCCGAGCTTTTACCCCGCCTCCCCCGGCCTCGACCCCCGCCGCCGCGGCCCGGCGGGGCCCCTTGGAAGGCCACCCGTCGACCCCGGCCCCTTGTACCCGGGCCCCGCGGAGTTCGGGGACCCGAAAGGCACAAAGGGGTCACGTGACGAAGCTGCCGGCAGCCATTTTGTGGTCTTAGTTCTTGGGCTGGGCCTTGTGCATCCGGAGGGGAACGGGCTGGGTGGCGGTGGGGGTGCGGCGAGCTGGGAGCCGGGGAGGGCCGCCTGCAGGCCCCTCCTCGAGCCGCTGGGTGGCGCTCTAGGGCCACCGCGGCCTTCGCGCCGCTGCCCGGGCCGGGAGCGCAGGTTCTGTGCGCAGCTGGGGAATTCAACTTCCCGGTGGCCTGAAAAGCTTGCTGGGCTCCATGCAGCCCCCACGTGGAGCCTCAGAAGGGCATGTAGTGTTTAACGTTGACTGCAGGTCTGTGAGGCTTATTTTCTCCCCTGTCTGCGAGGAAACGTCAAGGGTGCTGCGTGTCGGCCCGGACGACTTAACTTTCGTAGAAGATAAGACTTACTCGCAGTCTCCTCTTTCTGGGACTTGTTCTGTGCGCTCTCCCTCCCTGAAGATAGCTGGTCGGAGGATGATAAGCTGCTCTCCCTGACTTTTCTTTGGGCCTGTGAGACTAGGTTGCAGATTTGTTTGGAGTACGTGGCTCTTCTTAAGCCTGTAACTTTATTTTTTTTTATTTGTAAAATAAATTTAAGCTCGCCTGCTTTCTGGTCTCTCAACATAGGGGGGGAAAAGATTGGACTTAATGTTATAAGCTGTAAATTCCAAAAGAGGGTCCTTTCTTACTCATAACCGACTGAAGTGGGCTTTTATTTATAGAAATCTTAACATTGAGATGTCTAAATCGGGTGGGTTTCAGTATTTAAATGACCGTTTACAGCTAATAGACCTGTTATCATAGCTGTGGCTTTACCTTGTTGGAAGTTGGATTCAGACACAAGGATAATAGAATCTTCCTCTCATTTCTCCCAGATCCTTGACAGTATAACTTGATGACTTCTAATCCTAAGGAATTGCATACCTTGATTTTCAGGTACAGTCACTTAAACAGGGTGCAGTGTATTGACAGTTCAAGGAAGTCAAGGAGTCGCGTGGATTTGTGTGCTACAATTTGTTGTGGAAAATTCTACTGTAATACTTCTGTTGGTCCTGTAAGATTTTTAATGTAGAAATTTTACTCTGTAATGTTTTCGAAAATAAAACTGTTTAAACTGTTTGGGTTGTTTGACCTCTTAAAGTAAAATAGTTGTGACAGTGGAATGTCACTTTTGAGAGTAGTGTCTTAAATCTAACTTACAGGTAAGCTAAGTGCTACGTGTATGTAGTAGTTGAGATTGTCTAGTGAGGTACTGACTTGTCAGCACATCAGCTATGAGACAGTACCTCTCAATTTGTTTTACTTGTATCAACTTTAGATTAGAATGGTGCCATTTGTTTATTTTTAAATAAGTGATTTGTTTTTAAAAATTAAAGTGCTTGTGACTGCAGAATCTTGTCTTTTGGTTTTATTTTTCTTTCTGTTTATAAGTTTTACAGATAATACTTTAAAGTTGGGGTGTTGATTTTACCCTGCCCTGGAAATTAATTTGTAGTTCTTTTTGTGCAGCCAAAGAAGGGGAAAGTCTTGGTTAAAGCAAGACAGCACTACAGTACACTTTAGACATTTAGTTAAGTCTTCTGTGAATACTTTGGATAGTACCAAGAGTTACAATCTAAAATTTAGTTGAGCTGAGCTCAACTGAAGTATCAGTGCTTGTCAAATTTTACAGATAATATTTGTTCACTGAAATAATGTTGACATTTTATAGTGCAGTGGCTGTCATTAGTTTGTAACATGTGGGGTCCCTGTTTTTGAGGGACACAAAAGTTTTTTTTCCATTCAGACTACCTTTGTACTTCATCTGTTTGGAATTTTTCACTTCACATCCATCTAAAACTGTGTATGGTCAGAGACACATAGACCTCAAGAATAGATACTGAATTTGGTAGAAGAATGTAAGAAGTACCTGACAAACATATAATGTTGAACATATATAACTAAATATAAATAAAGATAATTGAGTTAACCCTCGAAAAACACAAATTGATTTGTTGAAGCATTTTGTACTTCTAATAAAGAGGAAGGATTAAAACAAACTTCTGCCTTTGATTGACACGTTAGTTAGTAGTCATATTAGTTATTGGTTACCCTCTTAGGTCATAGTAACCTAGAACCTGAATCAACTGTCTAGCTTAGAAAAAAGTATGTAATCTTATCTTGGTCATGAAAGATGGGGGCAGATGTAGATGAGAACAGTTTCTTATACACCACCTCCTTAAGAAAGCATTTGATGATCAAACCTGTAAAGTTGTCATGTGAAATATACCTGTTGTTATATTTTGTTTCTGTGGTAAACTTGACAGAAATCTAGGTCTTTTAACACTGGGGAAGTAACTATTATTAATATAGCCCCATTTAACCAATTTTAATACTATAAGCTGTGAACACATTGGCCTAATTAGGCGTGCTTCTTAATTTTTAAGAAACAATTTTAAGTAGAAGATACCTCCCCCCCAAAAAAGAAGTAATTTGGAGGTTAAAAAATGTTACTCAGCTCTGGAACTTTGTTACTTTTTTGTTACTGTAGTAGGACTGAAAAGTAACTCTGGAGTGTAATAAATTGAAGGATTTGACTGGGTCATAGATGTTAGGGAGTAAATTTACAAAAAGTAATTTGTTGTAACTAGCTAACTCTGATCATGAAAGCTTTGTATTTAATGAATTACAGATACAATTTTTAAATCATAGGGAAATAATAGACTATCAGCTCTGCGATGAATGAGTTCCTTTGGGGGTTAAAAAAGAGATTTAAACAAGTGGTTAGGTGTCCAGATGTCCCCTTGTAAATATTTTTAACATTTCTGAGTTTAACATAATTTAATTATTTTTATAATCTTAAATTTAGCACTGCAGCTTCACATTTAATTGAAAGGGCAACTTACCAAAGAGATTAGTATTACAAAATGTTTTATTAAAATTGACTTATTTTGATTAAAATTGGAGATTTATGTATTGCAGTTCTCCTTTATGAAAACGTCACTTTAGGATAGACATTTGTAGAAAGTTGGTTTTAAAGTGATACTTAAGGAATTGGAGCTACTTGTTCCCAGATAGGTTAACTTTTCATTGTATTATCTAGGGAGTGAGGCTCCGTTTTATGAGGGGTGGCGACTTAACTTTTCATTTCCTGTTACCTAGACTGGTTTGGGTAGGATATTGGATGTAATTAAGATGTTAATGATGATACCACATTGCTATTATCCACACAGTCACCTTTGAGACTGTTAGGAGTAGGGTCTAACCACCATAATACAGCACCTTGGTTTCATGGGGTTCTAACCAGACAAAATTGTTTTATACTCCCGCCTTTCTCTCCTTCATTACTGGCCCAGTATAGACAATATTAAGTCCAAGTTAAGAACTATTTTTAAAGTGGACAGGAGTTTTTTGTGTTTAATTAGAGGGAAATTAGAAATATGTGCATATCCCTGATATGAATACTTTTTCAAAACTTTAAAGAATCTTTTCAGTTTGATAAAAATAAGTTTACGTCACTTTAACGAGCTTAGAAGTTTGACTTCTCATTTTTTGAAAGAAATTAAGTTTTTTAAAATTTTTTTAACCTTTACTATTTTAAACCAAGATTTTTAGCCCTTCTATCTGGAGCTGTAAAAATCAATCTAGATTTCTCAGTTCTGTCCACTGTTTGGAAGTGAAGAGAAATATGTGAAATTTCAATTATAATAGAAGCAAAGTTCAGCAAACTAATTACAGATAGTTTGAATTCGAAGGAAATTGGGAGTATTTGGGGGTTTTGCCTTAAGTAGCAAACAGTCCAGATAAAAATCAATTGAGAAGTATTAACAAAATCTAATTTCAGCTTTTACCCTCTTCAAAGGTATTTTTGAGTAGAAGTTTCTAAGCTGGGGTTCTGAGGGTTCCATGAAAATGATTCTGGAAGTTGAATTCCCACAGTATGCCTATAAAATGTTGATACGTTTTCTAGGGAAAGGGTTCATACTTGCCGTCAGTTTCTCGCGGTATTGGTAATGGGCTAGGGCAGAAAGCTCAGGGTTATGATCCTAGCAATTTCAAACAGTTATTTTGGTTCTTTTTAAATTTGGCAATTATTAAATATACTTAATAGGAGTGGGATAACTGAAAAAGGATATTGGCAATTCAGGAGGAGACAGATTCTTAAATCCAAAAGGGACCCCTTGAAAATTTAAGTGCCTACATGCCTAAAGTGTTAGTAAAACTTGTTTCAGTGTACAGTTTGATATTTAAAATTTTGGATAAGTATATACTTAGACTTCATTTCCTTATAAAACAACAGTAATAATAACTAATGGGCTCCTGGATCTAGTGGTGTTTGTGGGTGCTCCATAATTAGAATTTGTACTGAACTACGTTTTCTTTCTGTTAATCAATAGAACTTAATGAAAAGTACCATCTAAATATAGGGTAGTTTAAATTTTGTAAACGAGATAAAAAGCTCCGCTTAAAGGTTCATGAATTTGTGGACAGGATTAAATGTTATGCCAACCACTCCTGTTAAAAATGACTAGGTTTTAGTTTTATATTTTGCATTCTACTGTGTTATGATATTTAGTAGTAGTAATGGTAAAGAAACAGATACAGAAGCCATGTATACCTACACACGCATGCATATGGCCATGTCTTTAAGCACTTATTAAATAATGGCAAGAGTTCTTTTTGTATATATGAAGGTGTGGATTCTGACTACATTTATGACTGAGTTTTCCTGGAAAGTTA